GGTACCAGAACACACGCCTCAACGTTTTAGAATAAAGGCAGAGGTGAAAATTAATCTAATCATGTCTGATTAATCAACTCAAAGCTGATGAAGCTACATTTATTCAACAACATAATTGTTACACACACACGCGCGTGCGCGCACACACACACATGCGCGCACACACACACACACACAGTCTGCTGTCTCTCTCCATCTGCTCTGACATAAACCACAGATGTTACCTCTCCCTCCTCCATCATAAACAGTCCTGTTAAAGTTAAGTAAGTTACTTACTCAGCTAGTAGAAGATGATGTCACATGACTTGTACACATGCACAAAGTTAGCTAACGTTAGCTACTGCCTGCTAGTTAGCTTTGTCATGAACCCCACATGATCACGAGTGGCATGAGTGTAAAACACTGATTAGTGCTTACCTTGTTGGTGTTTGCTAGCAGACAGTCAGGTAGACAGCTGAGGACCACGTGTGTTCACAGCTAAAGTGACCGATAGCACCTGGATAAAACCTAGCGCTTTCTGTTGTCACCAGAGTCTGAACAATAAAGCAGCGACGCCCATCTTTCAGGTAATCACAGAACAGAACCGTAACTACGTCTAGCTGGACTCGGGCGCTGTGGAGGGAGTCTGCGTCGTCCTAGCTGGTTCAGGGTCACATTCTGTCGGGGATACGCACATCGGTAGAACACCTGCTGACGCAAACCTGACAAATGAAACATTAAAATAAAACGTGGTTGTGCGGCCGTTTTTCCATTTCTTATATTTGATCTCAGACTAAAATGTAAAATACGAAAAACACAACGTTTTTGTTCTTTTTGAATCCGTTTAAAAAACAAATAAAAAGTTTCTATTTTTCCTTTTATGATTTTTTGTTTTCAACTGAAAATAGAAAGAAGGAATGACCCACAGGTCGACTCCAACCTGATTCTGTAACTCGTGTTTTTTCTACAGATACGATATTTTACCACACATTCTTATCAGAAGCATAACGCTGAAATTCTCAGCTATTTTTACACAGTGACTAAACTTAAATGTGTGTTTTACTCATTTATTCAGATGTGCACTGGTTTCTACAGGAAGCTAAAGCAGCCGACAGGTGTAGGAGACTATTCATGTTCAGCCTGCACAAAGCACTCAGAATCAGACTCGCCCCGACCACCAGCCTGAACCGACCTTACCTGGGATGTTTACGTAGCAACAGACCCCACAGGTCTTTGCTGCTGATTGGTGTTGGAACAGCAACAAGCTCCTCCTCCTTTAGTCCAGCTAGCTCTGCACTCTTAGCGAAGAACAACACGGTCACCTGAAGTCAAAAGGTGCAACAGTAACTAGAACTGCGAGCAGTCATCAATGATTCCAACACATAGCTGTTAGCTAGCAGGCTAATGCAGAGCTGGCGTGTCTCCTCAGGTGGAAACCTCAGCGTTTCAGCCGTGTTTTAAATCGGACAGCGAGGCCGAGCAACGACACTTGTGTCAATACCGGTGGGAATTTTAATCTTTACGCCGCATTAAAACACACGTCTTTCTCTTCCGAGATAATCCACCAGTCATCCAACTGGAACCAGTTTGTGATTCTGATGCTGTTGGAACACTGACCATTTCCTGCCGAATTATACCATGTATCATCATCATCATCATTATCATCATCATCATCAACCTTTATTTATAAAGCACATTTAAATGGCGACAACGCCAACCAAAGTGCTGTACATGACAGTACATCACCAAACTAGATACAGCAACATAAAATAGATAAAACAAATAAAAACTATAATAACAAAAATAAAATAACAGGAAAGCACAAGGGTTAAACAGTCTCAGCTGGGAAGGCCTGGGAACAGAAATATGTCTTCAAACATTCTTTAAAAGTGGGAAGGGAGGGGGCAAGTCGGACCGTCAGGGGGAGTTGGTTCCAAAGTTTAGGCGCACAAACTGAAAATGCCCGTTCGCCAAGGGCCATATAGCGGGACGGAGGGACAAGCAGAAGGTGCTGGTCAGAGGACCTCAGGGTTCGCGCCGGAACATAGGGACTCAAAAGATGTGCCAAACATGAGGGGGCCTTTTCATGAATAGATTTGTAAACCAACAGAAGAATTTTGAATTTCATCCGAAACCGAACTGGAAGCCAGTGTAAATTTGCCAAAACAGGGGTGATATGCTGCTGTCGGTCTATGCCCGTAAGAAACCTTGCGGCAGCATTCTGAACCAATTGGAGGTATACCACTGAAGAGGAGGGAATTCCATATAAGAGAGAGTTGGCATAGTCCAGATGTGATGTTACAAAAGCATGAACAACTGACTGAAGATCTTTTTTGTTCAGGACAGATTTTAGTTTGGCCAGCCGGCAAAGATGAAAGAAACACGACTTGACTACCTGATTTATCTGTGCATCCATTTTTTAAAAAGCGTCCAGAGTGACCCCCAAATTTGTAATTGTTGGCTTCACCAAAACTGACAATAACAGGGGCAGAGATAGCTCCAATTCTGAAATCTCTCCACTGGTTGCCCGTGCAGTTCAGGATAAACTTCAAAATTATGCTTCTCACTTACAAATCCTTGAACCATCAAGCTCCTCCATATCTGTGTGAACTTGTCCATTACTACAACCCGCCGCATGCTCTCAGGTCTGAAGATAAGCTCCTCCTAGCTGTTCCGAATGCTCGTTTAAAAAGCCGTGGAGAAAGGGCTTTCTCTGTCTGTGCACCGAAGCTGTGGAACGCATTACCACTGCTAGTGAGGCTAGCACCAACAGCTAGCATTTTTAAATCACGCCTGAAAACTCACTACTTCAACCTAGCTTATACAACATAATTATGGACCTCATTGACATCTGCTCTGTTTAAAAATGGACTCCACAATTATCGACTTCCGTATTATTGAGGTTCTTTGTAAAATGTTTTTTCCTATTTTTATTCACCCTGTGTTTTATTGATTTTTAGCTGTTATTTTTGGGAATTTTGTTGTATTTCCTTTTTAACTTTTATCTGTGTTCGATAGGGCTGTAGCGAAGCCTCGACGAAGTCGACGGCTCGATTCTAAAAATTTGTCGACGTCAGATCCGGAAGTCGACGCACCGCGCCCACTTGTTGCATCCCCAGGAGTTTGTAAATAGAGGAGGAATCTGCCTGTTTTTCCTCTAGTTCGCCCTCTTCTCCGCCTTCACTAACATCTCCGCCAAACACCGAAGACCCGGAACAACGTCCATCCACTACTAGATTATTTTCCTGTTTTGCCCGCCTTCGTCTCCCGGCAACGGACAACAACTTCCGGGGTCAGATGCGCTGCTTCGTCTCTACCGCAGATGTAGAAAATCACCGGGAGCGTTTCTCCCTTCATTAAGGAGCTTCTTTCAGACACGAGGAGAGCTGTTTTGGTGGTAGCAGTCTCTCCTCCGTGCTGGTCTGTTTGCTGCTGGGTGTTTTTGGTTTATTTAAACTTGGTAACTTGAACTTAACGTTGGTAAAGCTACTGTTAGCATCTTCGCTAACAGCTTCTTGCGTTGGGATAAGCTGTTACGTTTTGGTTTAGAGTTAATCTTTTTTGTGGTGCAGATCTCCCTTTTATTACATTTAGAGTGTTGTGGGTTTTCGGTTTAGTTTAAAATATCACCTTGAGTTTGGTTTAACCCGTAAGACCACTCGCCTCACGCACATAAGTGACCAAAACAAAGCAGCATGGAGACACTCCATCTTCTACCACCTCTCAGGCAGCAGCCTGCACTCCCAAGTTCTACACGTCACCAGAACATAAACAACCGCAACACAATAAAAGCAGTGTTATACAAAATGGAAGGTCTGTAGTGTTTATTCTCTTACAGTAAGAATTTATAAATTTTTTTGAGGAATTTATTTGAGATTTTCTGGTTTTTGTTAATTGTGCAATAGAAAAATAATCATTAGATTAATTTTCTAAATAGTCATTAGAATAGTCGACTATTCGATAAAATAATCGTCAGAATAATCGTTTTAAAAATAATCGTTTACCCCCAGCCCTAGTGTTCGACATGTTTGTATAACGCCGGTTTAATTAACCAACATTTTTAGTGTACAGCGCCTTGTTTGGTTGTAATGCCTTGTGATTGCGCTTTATAAATAAAATTGGATTAGATTGGATTGGAGATAGCTCCACAGCAGAGGGGGAGCAGGGGGCAAAGAGAATAGCCTCCAGTTTGGAGCTGTTAAGATAGAGAAAATTGCCAAAAGCCAGGACCTGACTTCACTCAGGCAGTCAGTCAGTGGTTGCACAGAGTCAGCAGAGTTTAGGGCCATATAAAGCTGACAATCGTCAGCGTAGAGATGAAAATTTACCCGGAATTTTCTAAAAATGGCTGCCAAAGGTAAAATATATAGATTAAATAGAAGCGGACCTAAAACGGACCACTGGGGAACCCCCAAAAAAAGAGGTGCCACTCTAGAGGCGCAGTTCCCCAGGGCAACATTAAAACATCTGCCATTGAAATAGGAGTGGAACCACTCTAAAGCAGTTCCATGAATGCCAATTAACTGCTCAAGCCGCTGTAGTAGGCTTGCATGGTCGACAGTGTCGAAGGCGGCAGATAAGTCTAAAAGCACCAACAACACATGAGAACCAGAATCAGAGGCAAGCAAAATATCGTTAAAAACACGAATAAGAGCAGTCTCAGTGCTGTGGTGAGGGCGAAAACTAGACATAAAAAAATCTAAAACATTGTTGGATGTAATGAAATTAAAAATCTGGATAAAAACCATCTTCTCCAACAATTTGGAGAGGAAAGAGAGTTAAGATATAAGGCAATAATTGTTCAAGTCGTTAAGAGTCCAAGCCTTGCTTTTATAGAACAGGCTGGACCACCGCATGCTTAAACTCCTGGGGAACAATCCCCGTCCTAAGGCTTACATTAAGGATCTCCAGGATCGGTTGAGCAATTACTGGGAAGACGTCCTTCAGGAAGCGAGGGGGCATAAAATCACAAGGAGAGCCAGAGGGCTTCATATCAGCCACTGTCTTCCATAGAGAGGAAGGAGAGACGGGGGAAAAAACGATCAAAGGAATATAATGGAGAACAAACAGGGGCTTCTGGGTGAGAGGGAGGCAGAATCTGAGCCCTAATTGTGGCAACTTTAGAGATAAAAAAATGCAAAAATTGGGTGCACCTTTCCTCAGACGTATTAAGCAGAGGAACGTTGGGTGACAAAACTGCATTAACAGTGGAGTAGAGGACTAGCTAGTTACCCGAATATTTGGTAACAATAGCAGCAAAATAGTCAAAACGGGCCTTTCAAACGATGCGTTGGTAATTCCTCCAGGCCTCACGGAGAAGTTGGAAGGAAGCCAGAGATTTAACCTTTATCCTCCGCCGCTCACATCTCCTACAGTCCCGTCTAGCAGTACGCGTATGAAGGTTGAGCCAAGGGTCAGAGCGACAGCGGGAACGTCGTGATCTTAGAGGGGCAATCTGATCGAGCACGGAAGTGCAAGAGGCAGAAAAGAGGGATAGGAGGATCTCAGGATCAGAAGAATCCTCATAGAAAAACAAAAATTCTGAAAATAAAACAGAAAACTCAACAACTGAGGAAGGGGTAATGCGGCGAGCACGGCAAATCCCCACCTGCCTAGGAGAGACAGGCCGGGCCACATCCACAGAAAACAAAACAGGAACATGATCAGACAGAGAAAAAACATCAGGGCAGACCTCTGTTACATTAACACCAAAAGAAAATACTAAATCCAATATGTGAGACCCCCCATGAGTGGGGAAGTCAACCAACTGAGTCAGTCCACAAGAGTCAATTAAATTACAAAAATCAGCCACCAGGAACTTCTCAGGACAACAGACATGAATATTAAAATCTCCAAGTATAAGCAAATGATCATACTTGCTGATGGGACCATAGTCCCATAGATGATGATCATACTTGCTGATGTCCTCCTAAAGGAGGGCTGCATGGTGGCGCAGTGGTTAGCACTGTTGCCTCGCAGCACGAAGGTCGCAGGTTCGAAACTCGGCTAGGCTGGGGCCTTTCTGCGTGGAGTTGCGTGTTCTCCCCATGCATGAGTGGGTTTCCTCCGGGTACTCCGGTTTCCCCCACAGATCACAACATGCTCTATAGGTTATAAATTGTAAGTCGCTTTGGATAAAAGCGTCTCCTAAATGAATAAACAAACATCATGAGCAACCAAACATAGGCTATATTAGGCTAACAGTTGTCCATATTCTGTACCATTTATCCACCAATGGCTGTTTCAATTATTGTGAGTGAAAACTAAATGGCATAGTAGCATTTGTTTTGGCATTAGAAATTGAAAATGTTTTTCAATGTGTTGGCTAGATGGATATACGAAGATTTTTAAGAGAGTGAGTGAGGAACAGGAGAGAGACCAGGTGGTTGATGCTGAGGAGATCTGCATGGTCAAGGTCAGTGATCTACAGCAAAAACAGGGGCGAGCGCACCGTTATGAGCATTTACCTGAGCACAAAGTTCCCAAGCAAAATTGAACAGTTTTCTATTTAGGAGTGAACAGGTAAGAGACCTTGAGAAAAAAAAAGCTATAATTATCATCTGGCCTGCAACCTTATGTCAAGTTGTATCTGTATAGTTGACTTTCTGTATTATAAGTTCTACTACTTGCTGGATATTTTTATGTACACTGTTATTTTGTCTTGTAATTGTTAATTACATACTCCTTTATTCCATATCATAGCAGTGTTATTCATATATTAAAACCGTCAACTGTACACTAATTTGGCAGAATAAAAGTTTGACAATTATTCATTTGTTCTTTATTTTCACATTTCAGTAACATTTATAATTAAACAAGTTGTAATTAAACAAATTAAATAAATGACTGCAACATTTCCCCCTGTTAAGTGCAGTAGACTGAAATGAATTGCTTTATTTGGAAATATAACATATCTAATTTTTAATGGACTTACATAAAATCTTTCTTCAACATAGACCCCACTAATGAACTGATTAAGTGTTATTTTTTATAAAGAGAAGAGAGAAAATGCACAAAGGTAGGAAAGGAAAAGAAAGTGATAAAATAATAGGTTTTGTTAAATGTTCTTCGTGTAATGAATTAATTGACAAAGTTTTTGCAGGGCGTGACAAAAAACGTTCAGGTCAAGCTCCTGGGGTTGTCACCCCTATATCTCAATCCTAGTGACGTCCATGGTGGCAACTCTCTGACAGAAAAGTAATAAACTCTGAATAAAGTCATGGCTGCCGCGGCTGAAACGTTAAAACATGAACAAACTCACCTGCGCAGTCATGAGTTCTCCTACAGCTGCCCGCGAGCACAGAAACGGCGTGACCGGAAATCATCTGACTGGTTTCTAAGCGCCTGGCCAGCAGCGTGGTGGTGCGTTAGCGCCACCAACTGGGCTGGAGTGTGAACAAGTGTGCCGAAAAGAGCATTCCCCTGTCGAAAGACCCGCAAGTCCCGTAAGAAAACATTACATTATGAGCGACGAGGCAGTTTTTAATAGATTCACGTTTCTAGTGCGATTTCTCCTGAAAATGTTCTGTTTTAGACTACAAACACGATAAAATCATCACTCAATAATTTAGGATGTTTAACTGAGTATGTGTTTTACTTAAACTAGTTTGCCATTGGTAAAAAAAAAATAAAGCAAGCAGTGTGACCAAAATTACAAACCTTTTATAGATTCGTTATTATTATTTGAAATACAACATGTTGGAAACAGTAATTTTTTTATTTCTCTGCCCAGAAACCATTATTTTGTAGGGAAGCACACAATACAGCCAAACCAGCAAGCCTCAGATTTCAGAACCAACTTCACCTCAACCCCTGCCCGACTCCACAGCTGCTGTAATAAAATAAATTATAAAGAAAAGTGACAGAATATTTATTTCTGTCATTAAAGTAGCTTCTGCTACACATCTCTCTCTCACACACACACCAAGCGGAGGATCTTGTCTTTTATCTTATACTCCAAGAAATATATCACGATGGATCTAGGGTTGGCTCCCAGTGGTGGTTAAGGGCCCAGGGAACGGTGACAGCGCTGTATGCCCAAATTACTGTCCGTTAGGGAGAGTTCTTTCTTCATGAAGGTCTCGATGAACTCAGACATGTTGTCCCCTTCCTCTCCCTCTGTTATGCCATGAATATGTAAGTAAGTGAAACTTTATTTATATAGCACTTTTCACAGATAAAATCACAAAGTGCTTCACAACATACATAAAAAGGGCAAAACAGAACAGGAGCACAAGGTCATCTTACGTAAAAGCTTGTCTAAATAAGTGTCTTCAGCTGCTTTTTAAAAGAATCAACAGAGTCGGCCACACGAAGAAACAAGGGCAGGGCGTTCCAAAGTCTGGGAGTTACAGCTTGAAAGGACAGGTCCCCTCTAGTTTTAAATCTGGTCTTATGTATGTTGTTCCTGCACGAGCGGGCTTCCAGGTCAGACGTACATGACTGGAGGTCCTCCTGCAGCTGGAGAGTATAGCCAAGGACGTCCTTGGCATCTGCGGCGAACTCCTCCATGTCGGCCACCTTCTGCTCGACTTCCTCGATCCTGTTTGTGGCCTCCTTCATGTCCGCAGCAATCTCGTCAAGTTGTCTTCCCATCTCTTTTCTAAACTCTGTCATTTCTGACTTCACCAGCCCAGTCTGCTCAGTTATTTCTTTTTTTAGGTTAGCTTGAACTCCTTTCAGCTCCGTGAGAATGTTAGCTTCAATGGCCTCCACAGCACATAACAAGATTACGGATGCAAGACCCGACGCCGGATAGGGGACAGAGAATGGATGGATTAATGATCAGGACTGAGTCTACGGGGACCAGGTCTTATTTTAAAGGATCTCACACCAGAAAGCACAAGATGAGTTCATTTAAACAATAATTTAGTTTTTATTAAATCTTGATTTTTTCCCACAAACAGACACATTAAATCATTTCACCAGTTTACAGAAAATATAGCATTTTTCCCAAAATCCCCTTTTCAACAACATTCATTATAATCAAACCCACAAAAACAGCAGTAACAGCATTGCCGTGGAAACGCACACATTCACTGGTCAAACAGACTGACTGGTCCTTTTGTGTAACCGTAGCAACACTACAGCATCAGTCTGTATTTCATACTTTCACCTTGGAAGGTTTTTATTCTGAAAACCTTTCCTTTCCTGTCTGAGGTGTAACAGCTGATCGGTCACTCACTTCCTGATCGGATGCATTTGGTTTCAGTCGAGGTGCACACGGAAGGCACTGATCTCCATGGGGCGCAGCAGCACCTGCTTGTGGGCGGAGTCTGACTCGTCGTGGTCACGCAGCAGTGTGAGACCTGTCCGACGAACGGAGCGGAATCGGAGAGGAGAGAAAAGATCGTCCAAGTTCACCTGGAAGCAGTAAACACAAACAAATACAGAGCCAGTGATTTACTGTGTGTGTTCTTGTACTTACTACCTACCGAGGACCATTGGGAGGGTTTAACCAACAGGGTGAGGCCATTTGATCTGGTCCGCACTTTCTAAAAGAGCTTAGCAGTTGGTTTTAGAGGTATGGTGTGAATGAAGTTTGAGTTAAGGTTAGGGTGTGTGTGTGTGTGTGTGTGTATGTGTGTGTGTGTATGTGTGTGTGTGTGTGTGTGTGTGTGTGTGTGTGTGTGTGTGTGTGTGTTCTCACACCTCCTCCTGTGAGGTCCACGTGCACGATAGTGCAGGGCTGGGGCTGGTGCTACAATCAAAGCCCTTCCTGTGGAGTAGGAGGCCCACTTCCTGTGATGGACTTCCTGATTCCTGTTGAAGAGCATTTTAGGTTATAGTAAAAAACAAAAGACATGAATAGCATAGCGGCCATATTGGGTGGGTTCCTCTCTTTCAAATCCATTCAGCATGCGTTTTATTCGTGGATGAAAATGAGGGAAAACGTGGGTTTAGAGGCGGCGAGAGCATGAAGAGGTGACAGAGGATGAGGGACAAAGTTTTTCCGTGTTAAAAAGTCTCTGAAATTACATGAAAGGATACCGGTCGGTGCGTATAGGCGTCTCCCTCACGAGCTGACGCGAAAGCATAAACTCGCTCTACCTCCTGAGCTAAATTTGACCATTTGACCAGTCTTCAGTAGTCCAGTGGCGGTGTTTCATGGCCCCCGGGGTAAACCCCAACACACAGGCAGAGAGTCTTGGGGCTAACAAAAAGCCAACCCCAGCCCTCCGCCTCTCACCCGGAGCAACTCCAGCAAAGGAGAGTGTCCAACCCCTCTCAAGGACTTGGGTTCCAGAGCCAATGCTATGTGTCTAGGTGAGTCCGACTATATCTAGTCGGTACCGCTCCACCTCTGCCACAAGCTCCTGCTCCTTCCCTGCCAGCGAGGTGACATTCCATGTCCCAAAAACCAGTTTTCTTGTCCGGGGATCGGACCGCCAAGACTCCTGCCTTGGTCTGCCACCCGATCCACATTGCACCGGACCCTTCATGTTCCTCCTGCGGGTGGTGGGTCCACAGTTGGATGAGCCCATGTATCCGGTTCGGGCTGGGCCCGGCCGGGCCCCATGGGCGAAAGCCTGGCCACCAGGCGCTCGCTCACGGGCCCCAACCCCAGGCCTGACTCCAGGGTGGGACCCCGGTAACCCTCCGGGCCGGGTACTCCGACTCTTTGTTTATACATCCATGAAAGATCCTCTGAACTGTTCTTTGTCTCACCTAAGACCAATTTGTCATGGGAGACCCTACCAGGGGCAAAAAGTGCCCCAGACAACATAGCTCCTAGGATCATTAGGGCACTCAAACTCCTCCACCACGATAAGGTGACGGTTCAAGGAGGAGCCCAACCAATCCACATGTGTTTTGTGGATTTGGAGAAGGCTCAGCCTTAGAGATAGGGTGAGGAGCTCGGACATACGGGAGGGACTCGGAGTAGAACCGCTGCTCCTCCGGATCGAAAGGAGTCAGTTGAGGTGGTTTGGGCATCTGGTCAGGATGTCTCCTGGACGCCTCCCTGGGGAGGTGTTTCGGGCATGTCCTGCCAGCAGGAGGCCCCCGGGTCGACCCAGGACACGTTGGAGAGGTTACATCTCCAATCTGGTCCGGGAACGCCTTGGGGTCCTGCCGGAGGAGCTGGTGGAGGTGGCCGGGGAGAGGACGGTCTGGAGATCCCTAGTTGGGATGCTGCCCCCGCGACCCGGACCCGGATAAGCGGAGGAAGACGACGACGACCTTTTACTTGACTTTTTATCAGTTTTTTAATTTGCACATTAGACAAAACTGTATAATGAGTGAGCTGAGGGTAGGATTTAATAAGCGTTTGCTTCCTCCTACTCCTTCCTGAACAGGACAGTTGGTTATGTGTGATTATCAGTGCTGGTTTCATTCTGATGTCTAGAATGACCGTTTATTTTTGTTGCATCTTCTAAAAACGTGTCTGAAAATAAAGAGTCTGAAATGTGGAGGGAGAGAAGCAATAAAAGACGGAAAACTCACACCAATACACTTTATGTCGATATCAGCATTTATTAATGGCAGACCAATAACATCGGACCTCCCCAGGAACTAGCCAGGAACTGGGAAAGTGGGCGACCCACAGGGAAGCGTGGGGGTTGTCACTCTTACATTGAATCATTTTTCATGTTTTTCTTTTCAAAAGGGGAATTCTAGGTTTGATATAACAGAAAACAGGGATGGCTTGCCATCTCACTTTAAAGCTGTCAATCATTATTTAGGCCGTCAAGCCGCCCAAACGACGACCGGACGGCTCGCTGGCTAATTCTTTGCTGGGGGCGCATGGGGACCCATCCAAGATGGCGGATGGCTGTATTGATACGTCAGCAGCATCAGTCTACGAGGTGTTCACATATTTTGTCGATGTTAAAGCTGTTCTCAGTCAGAACCAGTAAGACCTGCAAAAGGAAGTGACATCATAGCTCACCTGCGGGTCTTCCAGTGTCCTCAGATTAAGCAGGTGGATGTCACACGGAAGTGATGAGTGCAGTGGGAGGAAGGGGTGGAGCTTTGGCACCTCGGTGTTGGTAGGGGCGGCCATGGTGATTGGCGGGTGACAAAGGGAGAGGGAGGCCAGGTGGGCAAGCAGAGACAGGTGATCTACTGAGGCTCCTCCCACTTCCTTTTATAAAAAAGACAACAAAGATGAATACGATCCAATGCCGCCATGAAACAGAAAGTTCTGCTCCAGGTATAAACACAGAAAGAGGTCCAACAGATCTGAGCCCACCCACGCACCTGAGCACCCCCTACGCGGTCCTCCAGCAGCAGGTGGTAGAGACTGGCAGTCAGCTTGTTGTCAGTGACGCCCTGTCCAAGGCCACGGTTATCATCCTGCTGCAGTCTCCGGTCCAGCACCACCTCCAGCTCACCTGTACAGGAACACACCACAGAAGCTCAGCAGATAGAGGGGTTGTCCAGTAACTGGAAGTTAGCAGGATCAACTCCGGCTCCCGCTAGAGAAGAGAGGGTGCTGGACTACCAGCGGTCACGCTGTATGAAGCCTTAAAGGCTGTTGTAGACGCCTTTAGTTGGAGCGGCCGTGGGCAGATGAGTTCTGGCTTTGTCATGCAGCTAATTACACTCATCTAGCTTAACCGGAGCGTAGAGCACAGCAGTAACAGCCGTAGCTCATGTGGGTCAGGTTAGTTTGTGATAAAGTAAAAAAAAAAAAAAACAGAAGAAGTCAGTGGGCGGGGCTGACTCTGGTGCAGCTCCGCCTTCTGCAGCGAGCACTGCTTGCTAGAGAATGCTGCTTGCCTGCTGGTGGTGGGCGGAGGGACCAGTCCACCCCAGGGTAGCTGTGGCTACAATATAGCTCATCCCCACTAGCGTGTGAATGCTTGAATGACTGATTGTGTTGTGAAGCGCCTTGGGGGGCTGTAGAAGGCCCTATAGAAATACAGACCATTTCCTAAAACTCAAGTAAACTCTGCTGCTCTAGCAGGTGATGGGCTGAACGCCCAACAAGTCTTTAATAGAGAGGGAGCTGAGCTCAGGTGTGTCTGATACCTATCCAACGTGGCTTCAGCTGGGATGAAACTCAGACCTGCGTTTCTGATTTCATCTTCAGCCTCCAGTAGAGGTTCAGAAGAGAAACAAAGTCCATTTGGTGGAAAGGATGTGCTAAACTAACCAGCAGGTGGGTCTGGCTGGACCAGAACTCACCTGATCGCAGCGACGCCACAGCCTGACTCTGAGCCGACAGCAGAGACAGACGACTGGTCGAGTCCTGGAGGAACGACGATGAGCTCATCGGGTAAAAGTTAGCCTGCAAGGGAAGCTTCTCCAGAGTGCGGCGCTGCTGCATCTGCAACCAGCAGACGTCAAACAGGTCAAGGGTGACACACACACACACACACACACACACACACGATCGCTGCCTGGGACAATCATGACATAACCTGATGGGATCTGTAAATAACTAGTTTAGAAATAAGCTCCTCAGGCATATAAATATGAATTCATCTCTCCGAGCGGCACCTTGCCACACTCCTACAGCACTGCTGGAGAGGACTACACCATTACTGTGCAACTTCACTAAACATTCACCTTTATTTGTTTGTATTTATTTGATAAGAAAGAAAACAATCTTTTATAGCGTCTCAAGATAAAAATTACGATTAAAATTATAGTACAAAAAGATTTTTTTTAAATTATTACAAATGCTTAAATGAGAAAAACCACGTGTGTGTGTGTGTGTGTGTGGGAGGGGGGGGGGGGGGGGGGGGGGACTGGTTCCGGTTATGGTTGCGCCTCAGTTTTGAATTCTGAATGAAGCTTTATTTTCAAAAGATTTTGGACGGATTGATGTACGGATTAAGGACACCGAGAAAGGATTACGGACTTATATTTAGACGCTGGACACTTCCATTAAAAAAGAAGGCTGCCGTGGAAGTTAGGACTGGAGCTAGCCGCAAGCTAACTAGCTGTCCCTACGGCGTCAGGTTGACGGGGACTAGCGGTTAGCCACAAAGCTAACCAGCCTTGACAGTGTATCTGTTTGTTGATGCTGCGTGTCATCACCATGGCACCGAACAAAGCCTGGTAGCAGAGGAGGCTGAGGGTCTCAGAAAGGCACCTGACTGTCTCTCACAGGACGTCTCGGATAGAAAAATCAAACAAGATAAAATTCTTAAACTTGAGGAGGAAGTTCTCCTGCTGCGTGCTCACCTAGAGAAGGATAAGAAGATGTCAGTCTGCAGTCTCCAGTGTGTGAGGCCTTCTGGTTTAAACCAACCAATCAGCAAGCAGCTCATTAGCATATTCATGTCCTGACCAGGTGGGAGGGGTTAACAGCGAGGCTGATTTAGGGGTTTAGAAGGGCCCGTACCCGGGTCCTGGGACAGAACATTCCTTCTGCTTCTTAGATATTAAAGACCAAGTTTTAGATTAAACTGCATTCTTCTCCCTTTAATTCAGCATTCAATAAAAACGGTCCAATTCCACGACGTAGGAAAGCAACATCGCTATAAAAGGACTATGGTTATGTCGAGGGTTAAAAATGCTTGTCAGAAGAAAAATACTTCATAAAGATAATTCGTTAGATTAAGGACCAAAGAATCTGAGCAAACGTATAAACATTTCTAATAAATGGACCATTATAATAAGACCTAGTAATATATTATATTCTACCAACTTAATAAATGATAATAGGAGTAACACTAAAAGGTTATGGGGAATAATAAATACTGTTATTGAGGGGAATTAAAATAATTAACATCCTGACTGTTTTATTGATGAAGACAACTTTAATATGAATGAAACTGTAGACCGCTGTAATAACTTCCTGGGGAGTGTGGGCCAGACTTGGCTAAGAGTTTAGGAAATAAATGGGACTCATCTACAGAAATTCACTCTAAATCAGTGTTTGATGGCATTTCAAAATAAAATGAAAAGTGATGGAATAAAAACCTGAAAACCGTTGAGATCGCTATAAAAGCGGTTGCTGCTCGCCACGTCGCTGACGAGTCTCATGACAAGCTCCCGGTTGACCTCTGACCTGATGTCCACTGTGTTGGAAATCTCCAGTGATTTCCCAGCATGCCCTGAGATATAAATAAATAAATGTAATAGTTATCCAGCACCAGAACCAGAAGTACAAGACCCAGGTCCACACAGGCTGGTAGCGGTACCAGACACAGAGTCCCATGGTGCCCAACAACAAGACCGAAGGTGAACGGCTGTGAAACTGTACAGCCTTACCTTAGTATATATCCTGTTGCCTAGCAACCGTGACAACGCTGAACAGAAACGCTGAACAGAAGTTTCAGCCAAACTTAGCAGCATACGAGCTACCTCTGGTAGTCCTCTCAACTATAACTGGATTACAAGAATAATCCTACAATTTTTTTTCAGTACAGTTGCCAAACTTCCACAGAATCATCGCTCTGAACCATCTATTCCCTTAGCCCTCAGCAGCAACGACTTTATGGGATTTTTCACGAGTAAAATTATTTCTATTACAAACTAAATCATTAGAATCCTTGAAAATGGGTTGAAATATGATGTTTTGGTAGGACCAAGTCCCAAAAACTCAGTACCCTCTCCCTTCCTGCTGCTGGTGTGCCAGTGGAAGCCACACCCCTTTTCTGACAGCAGTGGAGTGGGGCTGATCGAGGGCTGGCTGCCTGTAGAGCTCTCCGAGGGAGACCACAGTAAGGTCGCAGCTCGGTGAGTTGATAACCTCCAGGTTAGCTCAGTTAGCTCGTAGCTACATCTGCTCAGCATTTGATGGGTGCCACTCATCTGCCTCCACCCACACAGCCCAGCTCTTAGCTCCATTTTACAGGAGTGATGTCATGGCCAAGATGGAGGGGGTGGAAACTGCTCTTCAGGAACCTACTGTGGTGGCGCAGCAGGTTTGTCCATCTTGTGTAAACAGTCTGTCAGGTTTTCAAATACGAATCGTAAAGGGCCACAAACTAATTCAGCAAGTCGAAGATCCATCCATCCATCAGCCTTCATCACATTTGTTTGAACAACAATTGTCTTTTTCAGTTGATACAGCAACAAGAACCTGATGTCATTTCCAGTTAGTGTTTAATTCAAACTAAAAACAAACTCCTGTAATAAATCTAAACCAAAGGAAAAGTTCTCTTCCTACATGAAGATTAAGAAAACGTGCAAAAATAAAAGTGCTTTTATTTGTCCCATAATACCTCACAACCACCAACCGCGGAGCCTCATCGATAAGGTCGGTGGACTCCTAAGGAAACGCATTCTGCTTCTTTAAGATCCACCACAAAGCTGTGGAGTCAGATCAGCGGCCGTAGCTTTTGTACGGCTTGCTGCCGTAGACTCTAAAAGGGGGATCTAGTAGTCATCGCACGGTTCACTTCACTTCCGTCACACACTCCCATCACTTCTGCATCAAAGAACGGTTTCTTCTGCTCCTACAAAACCCATCAGACTATGAGGGAGCATTCTGTAGCTTGTTGTTGTGGAGTCACCGTGGTAACTAGGACAACTTCATAGGATGACTTCATATGGAGAAGTACTTGAAGAGTTTGGTCCATTCATCTTGAAACCGCTTTTATCGTCAGTCGTCTTTAAGACACACATTTCCCATCAGCACACTTGCGGAGGACGAACCAATGAACGAGCAGCTGAGAGTGAAAGTGAGAAAAGACTTTCCCGTAGCTCTTTTACCGAGGCGACACGCCAAACTCTCCTGGCTTCCTGTTGTTTAAATGGAGCGCTGCCTAGGCAGAAAAGCTTGGATATAATGCTTCTTTGACCGGGTCTGGACCTTGGACTGCCTATGAAAGCTTACCGGTCTATGTCATTCACCCATTCACACCCTGGTGGTGGTGAGCTACATCATAGCCACAGCTGCCCTGGAACACACTGACAGAGGCGAGGCGCCACCGGTCCGTCCGACCACCAGCAGCAGGTGGGGAGTTGAAGTGTCTGGTTCGAACCAGCTACCCACTGGTTACAACGCAAGCTCGTGCCCCATGAGCCACTCTCAACCCAAAGACACGACCAAATTCACCACGAAATCATGAAAATGTTTAAAGAAAGGGAAGGACTGGGAAAAGACACTTTATCAGCGCAACAGCAGACGTTAGACCATGGAACAGAAACGAAACAAGGCTCAAACTAAAAATATGAGCACTAATTCTCTATGAATGTAAGGATGAAGAAGACACCGCGGTATGAGGCTGAGACGGTGAACACCATCTTTTGTCCTGGTTTGTACTGTGGTGTCTGTGGTCACCCAAATAAATCATAATAGATTCACACAACTAGCTAATACTTTATTTTCATTCTCTGTATGAAGGTCTGCATCAAAGGGATATGGCCTTAAATTCAGTCTTTCTACAGTTCAGCCTGTTGTTTCAGTACTGATGCTACATAAATACTATCGACTGTCATATGGTACTACATGTTAGATGTATTTCTTACATTTTCATATGCAAACACTTTGATGGAGAATTTCCTGTTACACACACTGTCCCCTTGTTCAGCAAATCAACCAAACAAGGATTACACGCATACAAGCTTTTGTTGTTTTAAATGAAAAAAGTTTAAAATTACCATCCAGGTGGAAGACTCGGACCGTGTGTGTGAAGTGTTTGAAACAGGAAGTGATGTCAGAGAAGATTGGACCTCTGGTGACACGGATCAGCGGGGGATCAGAGGACAAGTATGGCTGCAGGGAGAGAAACATTCACAATAACACACATGGTAAACGGCCTGTGCTTGTATAGCACCTTCCTAGGGTTCTACAACCCCCCAAGGCGCTTCACAAACCCATCAGTCATTTACCCATTTACACGCTGGTGGGGATGAGCTACACTGTAGCCACAGCTGCCCTGAGGCGCCCTGACAGAGGTGGTTCATAATCATCTTCTTCTTTAACACGGAGCAGTAATGTGACGATTTTTTACCTTCGGCTGGCGTGTTTCGGCCGGAACTTTCGCCTTCATCAGAGCCGCCAGCTGTTTGTGGCGTCACGATGCCGCCCCCTGCTGCCCGCATCCTTCATGCTGATAACACCATCCCATGTGTGATCCAAAGTCGTCTCTGTTCATGGTGTTGTGTCTGCGTCTCCTTATCTCCATCACTTCCTTAATCCATCTTCTGTGTTGTTCCGTGTTTATGATCCGTGTGCTGTCCCAATCCATTATGTGATTTTCCCTTGTGCAGCGATCCGTTACCGCCGATTCTTTCATTGAACTTTCCACTTCCTGTTGTGCTGCTCTTGTGTGCCTTTGTTTAGTTTCTCTCTCACACTCTTTCTGATGTTCTGTTGTTCGTGTGATGAGTTGGCGTCCTGGTTCTCCGATGTATGTTCTACTGCAGAGGTCACATGATATCTGGTAGATGACACTGTGTTTTTGTACAGCTGGTATTTGGTCGTTGGAGTGCACCACTCTGTTGTTGACCGTCAGGTTTGGTTTAGTTGGTGTGTTGATGTCGTGTACGTTCATCACTGTCCTTATTTTTCTGTTATGCCTAAATGTGGGGAAGGGCTATTGCTGGTTCTGGTTCTGCTCCCTCTGTTGTCCTGGTTCTCCTTGTTGTTGTTGTTTTTTTCTGTAGTGTCCATGGTAGGTATCTGCAGGTATTTAGTGTGTTTTGCATATTTTGGTCCTCTAGTTTGCGATCCTGTTCTTCTGTTATCATGTTAGCTCTGTGGTATAGTGTTCTGATCTCTGATCACTGGTGTATTATGGGATGTTCTGATGTCCATGGTAGGTATTGATCTGTATGTGTTGATTCCTGCTGTCTGGTTATTCTCATGTCTATGATTGCAGTTCTCTTTTACTTCTTCATGTGTGAATTTTATGTTTATGTTTATGTTTATGTATTTAGCAGACGCTTTTGTCCGAAGCGACTTACAAGTGATAATCGGCATTTTGCCCTTGAGGCTAACAACAATAGTAACAACAACAAATTGACATCAGTCATGGAGAGGAGGGAACAAGGAGTGGACAGTAGAGAGGGGGGACGGGTGCAGACAAGGTGCTAGTTAAGAAGATGCTCTCTGAAGAGCAGGGTCTTCAGGAGTTTCTTGAAAATAGAAAAGGAAGCCGCAGTTCTGGTAGTGTTAGGAAGGTCATTCCACATTTGTGGAATGATGCATGAGAAAAGTCTGGATTGTCCTGAGCGTGGTGTAGGCACTGCTAGCCGACAATCCTGTGATGACCGGAGCGGCCGGGCCAAGACGTAAGCCTTTGCAAGAGGATTCAGGTAGATGGGAGCCGTACCGTCTCGGACTTTGTATGCTAGTGTTAGCAATTTGAATTTGATGCGTGCTGCTAGCGGTAGCCAGTGGAGCTCAATGAACAGAGGGGTGACGTGTGCTCTTTTAGGCTGATTGAAGACCAGACGCGCCGCTGCGTTCTGGACCATTTGAAGAGGTTTCACAGTACAGCCTGGAAGACCAGTTAGAAGAGCATTGCAGTAGTCGAGGCGGGAGATGACAGTAGATTGCACCAGGAGCTGGGTGGCATGTTGTGTTAGGTATGGTCTGATCTTACGTATGTTATACAGCGCAAAGCGGCATGAATGAGCAACAGAGGCAACATGATCTTTAAAGGCCAGGTGTTCATCAATCACAACACCCAGATTTCGAACTGCCTTTGAAGGAGCCAGAGATAGGAAGTCATTCTGGATTGAGATATTGTGCTGAATGGATGGTTTTGCTGGGATGACAAGCAGTTCAGTTTTAGAGAGGTTGAGTTGGAGATGGTGGGATTTCATCCATTTTGAGATGTCAGAGAGACAGTTTGATATTCATGCAGAGATAGTGTGGTCGTCCGGTGGAAATGACAGATAGAGCTGGGTGTCGTCTGCATAGCAGTGGTAGGAGAAGCCATGTGATCGAATGATCTCACCCAGTGAGGTGGTGTATATGGCAAAGAGAAGAGGTCCTAGTACAGAGCCCTGGGGGACTCCTGTGGCAAGGTGGTGCACGGTAGAGGACTGTCCAAGCCAAGATACACTGAATGATCATCCTGTGAGGTAAGATTCAAACCAGGCGTGTGCTTTCTCTGTGATGCCCATGGTAGAGAGTGCTGACAAAAGGAAGCCATGGTTGACAGTGTCAAATGCAGCCGATAAGTCGAGCAGGATAAGCGCTGAGGATTTGCCAGTCGCTCTAGCTTCTTTTAAGGATTCAGTCACTGCTAACAGAGCAGTTTCAGTGGAGTGGCCCTTTTTGAACCCAGATTGGTAAGGGTCAAGCAGACAGTTTTGTGAGAGGTATTCTGTGATCTGCTTGAAAGCCACCCTTTCAATGTTGTGTTGTTTATGTCGTTGATACTGTTTAGGTGTGTTGTTAGCGTGTCTGTTTGTCCTTTAGGGATTACTTCTAACATGTCGTCCACGTGTCTTTTCCATAACTTTATTTTGCAGTTTGGGGGGTGGCTGTGATGGCTTCTTGTTCCAGGTTTTCCATGAAGAATTCCCAGAGATGGCAGGGTTCCCATTGCAAATCCTTCTAATTGTTTGTAAATACGTCCGTTGTACGTGAAGTATGTAGAGTCTGCTACCAGTTCTATTACTTGTTCATGTCGTCTGCCTTCAGTTTGGTCTTTTTATGGAACGTTCTGTCTGGTTTGATTCTGTTTATTAATGTCGATGGTTTTTTGGGAGCGAGTTTTTGTAAACAGAGAAGTGACGCTGTGTGAAATGAGATGTCGCTGTCCTCTATTGTAATCCTATTGAGTTCATTAGCTGGTTCTGAGTTATTTTTGCAGTGTTGGTCTGTATTGCCTAACAGTGGACTGATGATTCAGCTTATGTCTTTTGTCATTTTGTGTGTGGGTGTACCTATGCTGTTAACTACTGTTCTCAGTGGACTGTCCTTTTTATGGATCTTGGGTGTTCCATATACTCTTGGTATAAGGTTTGCCGTTGGGATCCATTGTGTACGTTTTCTGTGATTTTTCCTTTTTCAATTAATGGTTTAAACATATTTTTCATGTTGTTTTTTATTTCTTCTATAGGGTCTTTTTTTTAAAGGTTTTTATGTTTTTGTTTTTTAACATTTGTATTTGAATGTGTCCATTATTACTGTAGTTCTTCCCTTGTCGGCTGGTAGGATGGTGTCTTTGTTTGTGGCCATGTCGTCATTGCTGCTTTCTTGTTTGTGATGTTGCCATGTTGTATTTAGCTGGTTTTTAATGCGCCAGGTATGCTGTTCCTTATTTCTGCTTTATTGCTTTCTTCTGTGATTTGTCGACAAGCCAGCTCCATTGCTACTTTGAATTATTCATACTGTATATTTTTGGTGTTGCAGCTTAATTTAGTCTTTTTTCAGTAAATTTTCTGCTTCTGTGAGTTTATGTTGTGAAAGGTTGCATATCCAGGTGTTGTCCTGTTTTCTTTTCTCTTTTTCTTGTCTATCAGTTTGTTTAATTTCGTTGTGTGTCTTTGTTTGACCGTGGTGAATTCTTCTTGTTCTTGCATTACGTGTCCTTTTACTTGTGCCACTGTGGCTTTATCCAGTTTGTAAATCTTTTGTAAGTTCAGGTGTCCATTTTCCAGATCCTTCTCTATTTGTTTTTGTTTGGTTGTGACGTTTCTAATGCTTTCCTTGAACGGTCCATTATGTGTTGTGCCGTCGTCGTTCTGATCAGGTTTTAATTGCAGACTTGTGGGTGTTATGTCCTCGTCTCGGCACCTTAAGTTGAAGCGGAGGTGGTTGCTTAGACACGCCAGCTTTAGGTGTAACTTTTCCACCCGTCGGAAGTCGTCCTTCGCTTGTTCTCTTTATCTATCTTTAAAACTCTTCTGAATGTTTGTTCTGTGTGTTGATTCATAATCGTCTTTTTTCTTGTTCAACAGTGTAGTAATGACCACCCGGTCAAAGACCACCAGCAGCGGGCAAGGTGGGTTAAGTGTCTTGCCCAAGGACACAACAGCAGCATTCTCTGGTCAGAGCCGGGATCAAACCTGCCACCTTCAGATTACTGGACTACCTGCTCTACCTTCCGACCTACTGCTGTCCCTAAAAACACCCCCCCCCCCCCCCCCAAAAAAAAAAAAAAATACACCCTTGTCTGATGGACCTGACTCACCTGGGGCCCCTCTTCCCCTGGAAGAAACAGGTATGCACCACTCTTGTCCTTGTGTGCTGAAGTTCTGGTTCCGTACCACAAGAATTTTACCTGGACCTGACGAACCAGACCAGACTGTAGGCGGAGTTTCTAAATAACAAAAACATTAATGATGATTTGGATGATTGTAATTCTGTGCTGTTATTAAAGTTGATGCAACAACCATCTTACTGATTAATGCTCATATTAAAGCATATTTCATTCAGAGGGCTCCACCTAGAGGTGCATTATTCCTTTAAGTCCCTCTCCTATGTTCCGTGATTCAGCCTTAAGCAACGCCTCTCGTGTTGTGCTGTTTATTTATGTGTATATGTAAGATGGATAAGTGGAAGTGACCTTCTGATTTGCTGAACACACATTACTGTCATCAATCATAATCATAATTATACCCAAAGCATAATAATTAATTTCATGTAATTAAAATACATTGATACTTAACCAAGTGATTATTTATGATGATTATAATAAATAGTAATAAAGTCAAAGAGTTTATTAATATTATTATTTAATTATTATCGTGAACTTGAAGTGTCCTTCTTCTGGGATGGAACAGCAGCAGATAATCAGATATATTCTTCAGACATCATGACTCCTGGGTTAATCTGTGGATTTAAAAATTACTGTCTGACCCAGCTGGGTAAATGTGACCTTTGCCACAAATTAGAGACCCTGATGATGCTACAATACATACACACACATATACATATACATATGTATATTTATATATATATATACATACATATATGTGTGTGTATGTGTATATACATATATATATATAAATATATATAAATATATATATATATATATATATATATTTATATATATACATATATATATATATATATACATATATATACACACACACATATGTACACATATATATATATATATATATATATATGTCTGTGTGTATATTTGTGTATATATGTGTGTGTGTGTATATATATATATATATATATATATATATATATATATATATATATATATACACACACATATATATACATATATATACACACACACATATATACACAAATATACACACAGACATATATATATATATATATATATGTGTGTACATATGTGTGTATATATATATATGTGTGTATATATGTATATATATATATGTATACATATATATATGTATGTATATATGTACATATACACATATATACACATATATTTATACACACATATATATATATATATATATATATATATATATATATATATATATATATATATATACAGTGGGGCAAAAAAGTACTTAGTCAGCCACCGATTGTGCAAGTTCTGCCACTTAAAATGATGACAGAGGTCAGTAATTTTCATCATAGGTACACTTCAACTGTGAGAGACAGAATGTGAAAAATAATCCATGAATTCACATGGCAGGATTTTTAAAAAAATGTATTTGTAAATCAGGGTGGAAAATAAGTATTTGGTCAATAACAAAAATTCAACTCAATACTTTGTAACATAACCTTTGTTGGCAATAACAGAGGTCAAACAATTACTATAGGTTACTATAGTATGCTTCTTACGGAGCCACTCCTTTGTTGCCCGGGCGGTGTGTTTGGGATCATTGTCGTGTTGGAAGACCCAGCCACGTTTCATCTTCAAAGCTCTCACTGAGGGAAGGAGGTTTTGGCTCAGAATCTCACGATACATGGCCCCATTCATTCTGTCCTTAACACAGATCAGTTGTCCTGTCCCCTTAGCAGAAAAACAGCCCCAAAACATGATGTTCCCACCCCCATGCTTCACAATAGGTATGGTGTTCTTGGGATGCAACTCAGTATTCTTCTTCCTCCAAACACGACGAGTTGAGTTTATACCAAAAAGTTCTACTTTGGTTTCATCTGACCACCTGACATTCTCCCAATCCTCTGCTGTATCATCCATGTGCTCTCTGGCAAACTTCAGACGGGCCTGGACATGCACTGGCTTCAGCAGCGGAACACGTCTGGCACTGCAGGATTTGATTCCCTGCCGTTGTAGTGTGTTACTGATGGTGACCTTTGTTACTGAGGTCCCAGCTCTCTGCAGGTCATTCACCAGGTCCCCCCGTGTGGTTCTGGGATTCTTGCTCACCGTTCTCATGATCATTTTGACCCCACGGGATGAGATCTTGCATGGAGCCCCAGATCGAGGGAGATTATCAGTGGTCTTGTATGTCTTCCATTTTCTGATAATTGCTCCCACAGTTGATTTTTTCACACCAAGCTGCTTGCCTATTGTAGATTCACTCTTCCCAGTCTGGTGCAGGTCTACAATTCTTTTCCTGGTGTCCTTCGAAAGCTCTTTGGTCTTGGCCATAGTGGAGTTTGGAGTCTGACTGTTTGAAGCTGTGGACAGGTGTCTTTTATACAGTTAATGAGTTCAAACAGGTGCCATTAATACAGGTAACAAGTGGAGGACAGAAAAGCTTCTTAAAGAAGACGTTACAGGTCTGTGAGAGCCAGAGATTTTTCTTGTTTGAAGTGACCAAATACTTATTTTCCACCCTGATTTACCAATAAATTCTTTAAAAATCCTGCCATGTGAATTCATCAGAGAACAAGAGCCAATAAAAGTAAGTATGAAAAAAATGACTATTTTTTTAACCAATTGGTTGGTAAATGTGAACCTTAGATCGCTCATATCGGATATTTTTGATGCCGTCCGATATAATCTGATACACTGCTTTTGGGCCGATATCGAATAACTTCTGATATCGATATCGGAACAGGACATCCCTAGTTAGAAGAAGTGGGAGTAATCTGAAAATTAACTCTGCAGGTGTTAAATTGGCTGTAGGAGTTCGGAGTTATTATTTTTAAAACGACACCTACAGAGCGGATTAAGAAACACTCTGGTTTGACCCTCACTATTTGGCATGTCAGTGTTACATAGCAGCTATACAACTCTTCTTAGTGTCAGACTAACTCTACATATGCTTAAGTTGGACCAACACCCCAGTTACATTTGCTGTGTAAGGAATCTGGGTAATTATCAGACGGTAATGGTGGATTGAAAAGAGGGGACAGGGCCAGGGCCAGGCTTAGTAAAACAATTACATACTGCCTACTTTATAGCTCATATCTTTTGTAGATTTCTGTAAACCACACATAAATCCTTAAAGGAAGATATCTCCAGATCAATGTTATTGTTCATAAAATCTTTCCATTCTGGACATTTCAATATTTGACTTTGAATATTTAACCACTAATTTCCCTCAGTGCTTTAAAAGTTGTTGCAACCCAGGTCTCGTGCTCAGGCTTTTATGTGGAAGCAACTCACCTGCATAAGGCCCGTTTCTGGAGAGCTCCATATTTGGAGGTGCTTGTTGCTAAGCAACAGAGGGGTGTTGGCCTCCGTTCCTTGCAGAGGAGACACCTGAAAATATTCAGAGTGTACAGTTGGCAGGTTGCCATGACGATGGAGGATGTAATGAGCCCGGGGGGTGGAGCCAGTGGGTGCTTTGGTCACATGATATACAAGAAGGGCCAGAGGAGGAAGTTCAGCAATGAAGGAGAGCTGAAAGAAGAAACACAACTGAGATGATTAGAAGAAACCACGGCGATTAATAAACTAGACAATAATCTATCCTTCACCTGGAAAACCTCTGCAGAAACTTGGCTTGGCTCCACCCAAACCGCGGAGATCTGAGTAGCCATTGGCTGACTAGTCTTGGCATCAACAACACGAGCATCTGGAGAGTCCACGACAATGCTGACAACAGAGGTTCGAAACTGCTCCGTAGGGTTAAAGACCACCACCGACCTTACATAAAACAAAGATTAATACCTGGGATTACATTCTAATAATCTGGGTGGTCTTAAAGCCCCACCCCTTACCTGGGCACATCACTGAGTGCCAGCGTCATCTTCTGAGGAAGAGTATCCTGTGCTGAGATGGTTTCATCCTGGAATATTATATCAGAGTCAGCTGGTCTGCCAATAAAAGAGTCAGTTTACCACAGGTGAGTCCAGGTGAGGTCAAATCATAAACCTAATTATACTTTTCTGTCTGCAGGGGTGCAGTCACGCAACAATTCATGGTTGCAAGGCTCAGCAGGCACACAAGGACGGATAGAGTAGGGCCCAATTTTCTAAATAACTGTTGAAAGGGATGGAGACTGCAAGTCTGTGATTGGTGAGGACGCCTCTCCACCCGCCTTAAAAATGTAAAAGGGAGCCGACGATATCTAGTGGCAGACACACAGAAAACTGAATGTCTCGCAGAAGAAGACTGAAGATATAAACGCTTATAAAACTGTCACTGAAGAAGCACTCAGATTCGGAGCAGACTCTTTACACGTGTCAGAAAATGACAGGAAATGAGGAGGTGACTGGATGGGAGGGTGAAGGTAGTCTGGCAAGCAATCCTATATATGTGAATACATTCAAGCAAAATCATTTTTCTTCAGCGAACGATGGGTTAAAGACCATAAACGATGGTCTAGATTCTAGTCTAGAGGTGGAGGAGGACTCTAGTCTAGAGGTGGAGGAGGACTCTAGTCAAGAGGTGGAGGAGGACTCTAGTCAAGAGGTGGAGGAGGATTCTAGTCAAGAGGTGGAGGAGGATTCTAGTCAAGAGGTGGAGGAGGATTCTAGTCTAGAGGTGGAGGAGGATTCTAGTCAAGAGGTGGAGGAGGACTCTAGTCTAGAGGTGGAGGAGGATTCTAGTCTAGAGGTGGAGGAGGATTCTAGAGGTGGAGGAGGACTCTAGTCTAGAGGTGGAGGAGGACTCTAGTCAAGAGGTGGAGGAGGACTCTAGTCTAGAGGTGGAGGAGGATTCTAGTCTAGAGGTGGAGGACGATTCTAGAGGTGGAGGAGGACTCTAGTCTAGAGGTGGAGGAGGACTCTAGTCTAGAGGTGGAGGAGGACTCTAGTCAAGAGGTGGAGGAGGACTCTAGTCTAGAGGTGGAGGAGGATTCTAGAGGTGGAGGAGGATTCTAGTCAAGAGGTGGAGGAGGATTCTAGTCTAGAGGGGGAGGAGGATTCTAGTCTAGAGGTGGAGGAGGACTCTAGTCTAGAGGTGGAGGAGGATTCTAGTCAAGAGGTGGAGGAGGATTCTAGTCAAGAGGTGGAGGAGGATTCTAGTCAAGAGGTGGAGGAGGACTCTAGTCTAGAGGTGGAGGAGGATTCTAGTGAAGAGGTGGAGGAGGACTCTAGTCTAGAGGTGGAGGAGGATTCTAGAGGTGGAGGAGGATTCTAGTCAAGAGGTGGAGGAGGACTCTAGTCTAGAGGGGGAGGAGGATTCTAGTCTAGAGGTGGAGGAGGACTCTAGTCTAGAGGTGGAGGAGGACTCTAGTCAAGAGGTGGAGGAGGATTCTAGTCAAGAGGTGGAGGAGGATTCTAGTCAAGAGGTGGAGGAGGATTCTAGTCAAGAGGTGGAGGAGGATTCTAGTCAAGAGGTGGAGGAGGACTCTAGTCTAGAGGGGGAGGAGGACTCTAGTCAAAAAGTGGAGGAGGACTCTAGTCTAGAGGTGGAGGAGGATTCTAGTCTAGAGGTGGAGGAGGATTCTAGTCAAGAGGTGGAGGAGGATTCTAGTCTAGAGGGGGAGGAGGACTCTAGTCAAGAGGTGGAGGAGGACTCTAGTCTAGAGGTGGAGGAGGATTCTATTTGTGGAGGAGGATTCTAGTCTAGAGGTGGAGGAGGATTCATTTTAAATCGAGGCAGGACACCCCAGAAAGCGCTATGCTGTCTACTAGGGGTTGTATGAACTAGTCGACTAGTAAACTTCACCGCTCTGTAGTGACTTTTTATGCCTGTCATCGACTAGTCGCTGTCACATGAAAATGACCGACAAGATGTCATCCTCGGAAAAGACAGCAGGTGACGAGCCTCTGCGCGTCGGGAGGCGACGCAGTATCTGACGCCCGCCGTAAAACGGACATTTAACCAAATTGTGACCTTTACCCTCTTGCAATTTAACCTTCCCCTCACCCCCATCCTAACCTTAACCAGCTTGCGCATGCAAAGCTCTGATCGTTGACGCGTTCCAGACATCTGCGTCCTGAGCACGGCCACAGTAACATTATCAAATTAGGTGTCGCCACCTCAAAAACTAATTTAACACACGATCATTCATGTCGGCTCATTTCCTTTTATGTTTTCTGTCTTTTATTTGTGCCTGATGCGTTTCGCTGCTGTGGAGCGGGCGCATCACCTCTTTTGTGTTCCGGTGACGCACCTCACCGGTGCGGCCGGCGAGCAGCACGCACTCCACTGTTTTTGCGGTCGGTAGATCTTTTAGAACTGCAGTTCAAAGGTAACTCATAAGGTGAATACATATGAACCCAGGTAGCAGTTTCTCTTTAGGATTGAGAGGAGATGCAGGAAGATAATAAACAGACAGGACAGAAAAATAGTCAAATAAAAACAAGTTAGTTTTTGTACCTGGTGGTTGCAACAGACAGACACCATTGAAGGTAATCAGAAGTGAGGAACAGAAAATGAAATAATTATTTTAATGTTTAGAGCAGCAGGAACTCCGAGAGGCTGCAGGCACATCAGTGAGTTTGCGGCCGCGGCGCAGGGGGAGGGGGGAGAGGGCTGAAGCGGAGCAGTATAGATGCAGAAACTACCGTTGTTAAAAGAGATGTTTAAAGAGCAAGTCACCCCCTACAAGAAACTTACTTTACTCCCACTTCATGTTTGAAAAATGCAACAAATGCTGTTGCTTGGCAGACCGAGAGGGCGGAGCCGCTAACAAATACACACACGCTCACACAGGCTCACAATGGCATTGTGACATCATAATGTACCAGATGACATCATAGCATACCTCTTAGCCAATAGCAGTGGCAGATTTAAATTCAGATACAGTGCAGAATTTTTCCCTGACGACGGCGCAACACTGACAGTTTTAGGCAGAATATTTGAATTTTAACCAAGATGCACTGAACTGCCAAATTACTGACTACACGTGTCTGTAGCACGATTAGACACTCCTTTATATAGTTTTTCAGCAAAAAAATGTGATTTGGGGGTGACTTGCTCATTAACTTTGAAAATGTGGCCGCAATTTTTATAGTCAAAAAATCCAGGGAACTAAAGCGTCTGCCAAATAAATAAACATAAACATACTGTCCTGGCAGTGAATTGTTTCATAACACTGACACACCAATGGAGAAGTACAAAATGAAAACGTCTTCGTAAACATGTGAGCCCAAACTACCTGACGGAGAAGAATAAACTAGGCTTTAAAAAGCTTTCACCACAGTGAAACACTGAACTCCTTACTGTTGATGGGTTTCGCTCACGTGGCGTCTGCAGCCGCACAAAACTCAAATGGGGGACAGGAAGTGTTTTGCTTCGCAACAAAACACTGAGATATAACGCGGCGCGACGGTTTAGGTTATGACCCCTACAGTTTTAAAAGTCACACGTTTCATCCACTGTGGAGGATTTATCCAGCGCTGAAGCGATCAGCAACAAACTACCGTGTGCTGACTTCCTCACATCACACAGCAAACCAAACAAAAGCCTTTCCTAGCCTGGAAGCCTGCAGCTGTTTTAATTCAGGTTGGTTAAATTTTCAGTGATCCGGAGACCGCCATCTTGTTTTTGCTCATGTAAGTAGTGAGTTGTGTTATTTTTTCAATAATAATGCTATCGCTAACGCTAACGATCGGTCTGTGCTAGGATCTACTTGTAACTAACTTTTTATGCCTTTTAAATTCAAATTTCTGGTGTTAGTTTGATTTTAATAAGGTATAAACGTTACCACAATAAGCTAACTGCTAAAAACATTAGCATTCTGAAAGCTGTTAGCAGTGAGGACGTGTGAAAACCGTATACAACGGTCAAGCTGTGGCTTTTATGGCTGTTTCTAAGCAACAGATTAATAAAACACTCAGTAACCTGTTACCTGGTAGAAAGCTGTATCTCCAGCATCGTCCGTTTCTGCTCCTGTTTTAGCCATAGATCACTGATCCACTTCTTTCAGTATGTATTTTTATTTTTTAATCAAGTCCTTTGTGGTGCACTACATTCAGGATTTAAAAAAATGTTTGCCTTTGGCTCGATTAGAGTGATTGTAATAACTGTAGACCGCACAGAATGTCAGCATTTTACGCCCAGTCACCAATGTAAACAGGGTTCTGTGCCACGCCGGCTACTTCTGAACCCCCATCTGCATTTGGTGATGTAGATGCAACGTTACGTGAAACCCAGCAATAACATCTACAACAGCTACAAAGGTCATAGGTCACCATTTGCAGGAGCGTTTTAGATTGGTCGGGGTTGTACTGGCTCTTGTCCGACAGAAGCAACCAGTGGGCGGAGCTTTGGAGAACCTGATGGAGGTTCAGGATGGAGTGAAACAACCTGTAAAACAAACAACACATTCAAATAAATGCAGCTTTTAAATTCATGCTAATAAAACACAAAGTCAGTGAAAACACACTAAATACATGCTGACAGGTTAATGCTAGATGTTAAATCTAAATGCATAGGTGTGATGTAAAGCTAAAGCTACATGCTAACTATTTACACTAATGGACGTGTTACCTCTTTTAATTTCCCATGATGACATCATCCTTCAACAGAGAGCATGGAAGTAAAAATTAGACAAGAATAGGCTAATGCTAACAAGCTACATTGGTTCTAGCCTAATTTAGCATGCACACGTGGCAAACTTAAGTTTGTTACTTGCCTCGACTGGCTGATTAGTTCATGACTACTAACATAAGGTCTAGGTAGAAACCCTCTGGTGTGCTGTGATCGTGGTAGAGTTAACACTGACTCAGTAAATTTTTACCCAAAATGTTTTTATTTAGTTATTTTTATTTTTTGTGAAGCGTTTCATGACTGTTATCTTGAGCGGCGCTATTTAATATATATTCTTTCTTCCTTACCTACGAGCATTAAGGCTCAACTACAGTTAACTTCTACCCTCCAGTCGATTAAAAAGTTTCCCCGTGTTTGTCCAATAAGTAAGGATGTTACAATCGCGTAGTTTTATCCAACTCATTTGATTCTGATTACCTGCCGATACCGAGTCCCAACCTGAAGCTTCGGCAACAGATAAAAAAAAAAAATAACACCCATTCATTTCCTTCGTTTATCTGCCAAACGTCACTTTTTTGGGAAGAAACGTGTTAATATTATATATATGTTTAAAAGTAGCCTCACTGCTCATGCATCTTCATTGTATGGGAGCGATTTTCGTGACGGGGGAGGCCCGCGGCACCACAGCCAGCAGGCTAACTTTTCTCTGCACGACACCTGTAGCTACCCCGCATGGCTCAGGTGCTGCAGACAAATGAGAAACCCGATGTTTTGCAATATGTTGGTAATTTATCTTAGTTTATGAGCGACTCTTTCCCCGCCGGCTTGCTCTGTGTTTTAGTCAGAGTTGCCACAGTGAACTGGGACTGTTAGCGGCAAACAGACAGGAGATTCACTGTGGCAACACCGCAAAGCAAACACCAGAAGACTAAGACTCATCAGACCATAAACACGGAACAACAAAAATACAGATGATGGGTTAAGGAAGCGACGGAGATAAGGAGACGCAGACACAACACCATGAACAGAGACGACGGCGTTTACACGCTGGATCACACATGGGACGGTGTTATCAGCATGAAGAGGGTGACATCATCCTCTGATGACCGCACATTAACGGAAGTGACGCCACGAACAGCTGGCGGCTCTGACGAAGGCGGAAGTTCAGGACGAACATGTCAGCCGAAGGTAAAAACATCTAATTACTGCTCCGTGTTGAATAAGAAAAAAAGATAACGAAGTTTGTTATGAAGGCTGCGTATCATGAGAGGCGCTATAGAAATTATATTTTCTTCTTCTTCTTCTTCTTCTTCATGCACCATGTAGAATACCCAGTCTGCACACGTTACAAGTGGATGTGCTTCTGTCGACACGGTCTGGTTTAAATATGTCCAAACTGCCGACATTCCCTTCTGAGGAGACACACTAGCTCTGAATTAGTCTGCCTGCCATGACTTGTCCTTGTCTCTATGAAGCAAAGAACACTGATGTAGACGATTGCATTTGTTGTTTGATAAAGTTAAATCCGATCTTGTCACCTGATTCTGATCTTTAACTCATTCACTGCCATTGACGACAAAAGTCGTCATTTTAAATCCAAATTTTGAACATTGCTGGCAGCAAAGGGCTTTACTGACCAGGAACGTCTGGCAGTGAATGAGTTAAAAATCATGTGATCAGGCCCGGATTTCCAATCACGACCGGATCGGAGCATCCCTACCAATAAGTTCATAAAGTGTGTCTGTAGCCGTTAACTTTTGGATTAAAGTGAAATTCTCCAGCATGCCAACGAGCTGTCAGGCTGTCTAACAGGAAGTAGCAACCTTGTGCCATAGTCGATGACCACAGAGTCGCGGGCGGTGCCGGCCACAGCATCATGGTGCTGGAACAACCCCAGGTTCTGCCTCCCTGAAATCAGACGTTGGAAGTGTTCTTGTGCAGGAAAACCTTCCACCAGCCGGCCATCTCCACGGAAACGGCGCATCTCTGCCATGGTGAGACTGAAGACGATCTCTGTTGCTCTGAAGGCGGAGAGAGATGATCAGTTGAACAGCAAGCGGGCACACAGACCAGAACACCTCCGCTGACCTCACCTGAGCGTGGACTCTAGCGTTCGGTCCAGACGTTTGTAGAATGGCCGCGATGTAAAATATCCACTCCAGTAGTGATCGTCTCGGTCGGCATACGTGAAGAAATCTCCCTGAAGTGTTGGAAGAGTTGTCCCTGTGGTGCTCAGCCGCCGCTGAAGCGCTGTGAAGTAATCAGACAGAGTCCCAAAATGCGCCTGAAGGAAACGGTGGAAATAAACACGAGGTTAGGCCTTCCGTGGTCAGCAGCTTCGGACTGCTTTGTGTCAACTCATCATCTGGTCAGAGATCCGTCTGAACTGTTCAACCATCTCAGCAGATCTCCGCTCACCCTAACGTGGAGCTCTGGGTGCTGATTGAAGTAGTCGAACAGCTTCTGGTAGTTGTCGAACTGAGCGTCCCACTCCCTCGACTCGACGAAGCGAAAGTCGTCTCCAAGAGGAACGAGAAGAACCGAAGAGCGGAAAAGGCGAGACTTCTGGCGATACTGGTCCAAGAGGAGAAGAGCTCTGACAGAACCAGAGTGGGATCACTACAGAGTGGTTGATCATTGATCACACTAAAACATTAAGAGCACCCATAGATGAACTACATAAAGTTCCAGGACAACCATGGACGTAATTTTTTTTTGGGGGGGGGGGGGGGGGGGGGGGCATGTCCCCCCCACTTTTTCCAAAGTCAAGTTTTGACCCCTGCACTTTTTACCATCCAAAAACACTATTAAGCTATATTAAATTGACACTGAATGAGCTCTAGGACCAAGAGAAAAACAACCGTTTGTGTTGAAGCCTGTTTCCCATTAGAACATACTGTAAAGATACACCCCCCACCCCCCCACAAGTGAAAATTACGTCCATGAGGACAGCCATCAGCTTTTATGGGAGAACTGCACTGATTTATTATTATTATGGAATATTTCTTAATGTTATAGGTGGCTCCGCCCCCTGCTTACCTCTCTTTGATGTTCTGGTCTGTGATTGGCTCAGGTGGGATTCTCCATGGACAGAAGACGCGTCCTCCAGGCAGACGGTGAAAATCAAACTGGCAGCAGACGGCTGGGTTTGGACCACATGTGTGTGGCACATCGTAACTGTAGAATGGCATCATGTGACACATGATGTCACTGCGAGAGGAGGAGTCTGGAATGTGCAAAGTAAGCAGGAAAAACAACAATCAACTGTTGAGTCGTTACTCGGTCTGGCTTCGGATTAGGGCTAGTCTAGTCACCCCAGCTCTGTCGCCATCGAAACTCAAGGGTCTGCTGCTGGGCAAAGTGCTTCTTCACAGAGTAATGAATCCTCTGGACGACCATGTTAGTAAGCCCCGCCCCCTTCAGGAGGTAGGTCATAGATGGGGAGTGACCAAAGGGATCAATGGCCCAACTGTTACTTGGCTTCACACCTGTGAACAAACACAGTGTTTAAAAAGACTTGTGAGTAGAGTCAATCTGTCCGGTCATGTTATGGAGAAGGGTGAGCACCCAGGTGAGTCTGCAGCCACTGATGGCCCTCGATCAACTGATCCAGCATTGCAAAGTAATGAGAGTTGGCTTCATCCGCCATGACCCATCCTCCCGTCACCAGCTCCAGCTGCCCCGCCTCCACCAGACTGACCAATCACAGTGCAGCATGGAGGAAGACAAAAGAAAAGAGAAACTTTATGTTCATGTACAGCAAAAACAGAAGAAGAAATTATCACTTCAGTTGGATTTATGTATTCTGATGTTTGGGTTTCACTTTTCTAAGATTCAGAAAAAGATTTAAAAATTTGAAGCAGAAGTTTGGATTCAAGGACATTAAAGCTGCTATAGCCAATCTGCAAACAAGCTAGCTTCAAACACAAAACCCTAACCCTAACCAGTCCTGTCGGCTATCATCCCTAGGCCACGCCCCCCTGATATGGAACCCGCAGTAACAGAGGAAACAAGTGAATGCTAAAACACTATAGTCAACGTTTTCTACATCAAAACGTCTTTTGTTGTTCGTGACTTTAAATGGCGTTTTTTTTTGGGACTCTGGTTGGTTTGTCCTAAAGCTGAATTGTAAACAGCCGGCTGTTTCTCCTTCTCTGAAATGATGGAACGGAGAACCCCTCACACTACTGGTGTTTTGTTGCTAAACATGCAAATGTGTAATGAGTGGAGGACCCAGGGAAATGTGGCGGTTCAATTCAATCCAGTTTATTTATAAAGCACCAAATCAGAACCAGAGTCGTCTCAAGGACCTTCACACAGTAAACATCCCAACACAGGTCAGGTCATTCAGTAACAAGTTTCCTGTATAAGGAACCCAGCAGGTTGCATCGAGTCACTGACTAGTGTCAGAGTCTTTAGAGCAATCCTCATACTAAGCAAGCATGCAGCAACTGTGGATAGGAAAACTCCCTTTTAACAGGAAGAAACCTCCAGAGGATCCTGGCTCAGTATAAGCAGCCATCCTCCATGACTCACTGGGGATGGAGAAGACAGAACGAACACACACACACAAACACACACACACACACACACACACACACACACACACACACACACAAGTAATGTTACTAAGGTTACATTGTGATTTCTTAGTAAATATTCTAATTGGTGACAGATAAACTTGATTGTATTTATCCTAGTGAATCTATAATTAAACGGGTAAACTAGTAGTAGCACATTCAATGTCAAAGAGAGTAAAATGTTATCAGGAGAGGGAGAATGTTTAAGTGGTTAGCAACAGTGTTCAAGATGATGGCCCCCTCCATGAGGCCACCACAGCTCAGCAGAACATCATTGTAGCTTCTTCTGGGGAGAAAAACACTTAGAGAAAAAATAAAGTTAACAGCTGAACTAGCAGGAAATAATACAGTTAAAGAGCAGATTGTAGAAGAAAGTAGTCGAGTGTGGAAAGTGTTCAGTGTGTCCTCCAGCAGTCTAAGCCTATAGCAGCATAACTACAGAGATAACTCTGGATAACCTAGCCTTTTAGATGGAGGCATGTTGGAGGCAGGGCAAGGGAGAGCCGTCTTTACCGACTGTACACTCCACCTCCTGCTACTCCCCCACTTGTCCAGATTTAGGCTAACATAAGATTGTAACCATAGGCCCTATCAAATAAAAATGTTTTAAGCCTATTCTTAAAAGTAGACAAGGTGTCTGCCTCACAGACTAAAGCTGGGAGCTGGTTCCACAAGAGAGGAGCCTGATAACTAAAAGATCTGCCTCCCATCCTATTTTTAGATATTCTGGGAACCACCAGTAAAACTGCAGTCTGAGAGCGAAGTGCTCGGTTAGGAATGTATGGAACAATCAGATCACTGATGTATGATGGAGCTTGATTATTAAGAGCTTTATATGTGAGAAGGAGGATCTTAAAATCTACTCTGAATTTAACATGCAGCCAATGTAGGGAAGCTAAGACAGGAGAGATATGATCTTTCTTTTTAATTCTCATCAGAACTCTAGCTGCAGCATTTTGGACAAACTGAAGACTTTTAACTACATGGTGGGCCGTTTCTATGGATACACCTTAATAAGATGGGAATGGCTGGTGATATTAGCGTCCTGTTCATGGCACATTAGTATATGTGAGGGGGCAAACTTTTCAAGATGGGTGGTGACCATTGTCATGTCTGGCAATGGTCAGTTTTTAGGTACAGTTTGACCCTTAAACATCTGGTCACAATGAAGACACAAGACTGCATGTGTTCCCTTTAATCTGCCTGCCTTCAAACTATCAGCTGGAGCTCAGAGCCTCTCTGCAGCTCTGAACACGTGATAACATACTGTCAACAATTATGTTCTCTCCTCAAGGCCCAAGCTTCCCTTATCATCCTACAGAATTCTTCATGCCTCTGAATAAGTGAACATTTGAAGCTCGGATTAGTAGCTAAATCAAAGAATGATTTCTTAAATTAAATATGAACATTTAAAACAGTTAGATAATCATTAAAGGGACTTTACGGAGTTTTGAATTTTTATGCTTGCGATAGCCCCCTCAGGCCAAAAGCGTAACGTCAGCTTCAATAGTAGGCTCGTGCACGAGGTGCGCATGCTGTACGTGCACACTCATTAACGAAAATAACAGCTGAGACAGTCCCGTGTGTGTGTGTGTGTGTGTGTGTGTGTGTGTGTGGTGTGTGTGTGGCCAGGAGGAAAGGAGAACGTGCAGCTAATTAATTAAATAATTTGGTTGTGTACCTTTCTCTTCAGCACAGCCGACAAAGGTTTATGATGGGTCAGTCTTCCTGCATGCTCAGATCATTCCCTTCCCTTACTTGAAAAATTGTTCTAAAATGAAAGTTGAACCCACATCTTTTTTATCTGTGAATTCAATGCCGTTCGGCGAGTCTCAAATAAAAATTTAGGCATCTTACTGTAAAAAAAATACAATTAATGTAAAAAATAAACTCTAAACAAACTATGTTCACATCGAGAATCGAACCCGGGTCTCCCTGCACAAAAGTCCGTCGTCTTATTAGATGAGCTAAAGCACCAGTAACATCTTGTGTATCTGTAATATTTATATCCTTGATGACAGCTGAAACAACATTCGGAGAACAGTTTGGAGCGAAAATGGCTATTTTGTTGCTATTTTGCAGGAAATGTTTAGAAGAAAGTAGCTAAGGTCTTCAGAAATGTAGCTAGGTTCATCACTAGGCGTTAGGAACAGTGACAAAGTCGCCGAGTTGACACTACCTCACTCTCTGCTGCTAAAGCTACGGATAGCAAACGCTACGGGCGATGCCTGAGCGTGAACGCGCATGAAGCAGCCTGCTCGACCCGAGCAGATCTCCTTTTCTGTGATTTTACAGAAAAACAGGCAATCACAGTAAAAATGCTAGGGCTCATTCTACAGGACCAGGGCGTTGCAGGAGAATGTATGAAGAAGATTTCTATACGTTTTGGCCGTCAAACTTCCATAATGCCCCTTTAAATAAACGTTTGTTTACTGCTACTTATAATAATTACAATATCATGAAATGCTTTCATTAATCTGTGATTGAAGTTTGAAATGAATGTTATGATTACATTGATTGATATATGTTTCAGCATGTTTATATGACAAGGTCATAACCATTTACACTCGCACAAGAACAAAGTAAAGTTAAGTCAAACGCATGACACATGGATAGTCCTTTACCCCAGATCAGAGCATCCGGTATCAAAGAAGGCGTGTTTCTGAGATTGTCTTGGTAATATTCCTCAACATGTCAACCTCTGGTTGGCTACACAAGTCATAACATGAGAACATTAAAACCGGATCACTCTGGTGATTCATCAGTTCTAGAGAAAGCTTCAGACCGGCCATCTGAAGCAAAAACACTCTAACCCATCAAAGCTTTTGTCACGCCATCAAAATCTTTTGGCACCTGCAAAGCTGATACAGCAAGATTCCTAAAGAATCCGCTCGAGACGCAGAACAACTACCTGTTGTGACCTGGAGACAACTCTAAGACCGGTCTAGTAGTGTCGCAGTTTCTTCTATGGACCTCGGTGCCTGGGAGTCCAAGGTGTTAGGTATTTTTATTAAATGTTCATGTTGGTTGGTCTGTGAATCTTTCTTTCTGTGAGATTGACGAGCTCCTGTGAAATTTGTAATGCCTGAGGCCAGAGAGTCTCTGGAATGTGGTAACCATGGTAACCCTAGGAGATGGGTGTACCTGTATGTAACTTGAGAAGGCCCCTCCTTCTCCATCCTTTGCTGATTAAAGCCACTGGAAACTCTGAAGAAGGGGAAGTCGCATAGCAGCTAGCCCTGGAGAGAGTTAGTGTCATTAGTGGTCTCCCCTCATTTGGCTAATTCAGTGTAAAATGTCTCCCTTTTGTCCTGTGTATTCATTCCAGGTTCCGGGGTTATGGAGAAGTAAAACTTACCCAACATTTAATTACCCAACACAAGGACTTCGGCATTCAGGATCTATCACGAGGGTCTTCGAGGGGGTATGTAGACATGACAGATTGCGTCTGATGTGCTTTTGATAAGAATTAACTTCATAGCTTAACGCAAACCAAATTCTTTTACACCCAAAGCTCAGCTCTCCTAGATACGGAAGTTCTGATAACATTGCATTCACACATAGGTTTGACATCACATCTGCTCCATCTAGGTCCATCCATCACAGTAAATATTAGTTAACTTGTCATGTTTTAATTGTTTGTAAATTAAATTCTTACTTTTACAAACCTGACTCTTTCCTGAATCAAAACGAAGTGTTTACGATCCCTGAATAAAACAAAGAATCCTAGAATCTTCTGATTAAACACACTAAGACCAAGCAGGTTGATATTCTATATTTATATAGAGTATCACAGCTTATTGGTCATAAGTAGAGGTAATATATATTGAGCTCTTAAAGCACTCAATTTCCCAAACCCTACACCATGGTGGCCATTTTGAAGTCGGGCATCTTTGACCCAACTTTTGTTTATTCAATAGGAAGAGGGTCATGTGACACATCAAACTTATTGGGAATTTCACAAGAAAAAGAAATGATGTGCTTGGACTGAATGTTCCAACCATTCCCATTTTATTAAGGTGTATCCATAGAAACAGCCCACCCTGTAGATCCACTAGGATAAATACAATAAAGGTGTTCTCTCACCAAATAGAATATTTACTAAGAAATCACAATGTAACCATAGAAATAATACTTGGTATATATTTTGTGTGTGTGTGTGTGTGTGTGTGTGTGTGTGTGTGTGTGTGTGTGTGTGTGTGTGTGTGTGTGTGTGTGTGTGTGTGTGTGTGTGTGTGTGTGTGTGTGTGTGTGTGTGTGTGTGTGTGTGTGTGTGTGTGTGTGTGTGTGTGTGTCTGCTCTAGGGCTGCAACAAACGATTATTTGGATAATCGATTAATCGGATGGGGTCTCGACACGATTAATCGATTAATCGGATTACATGGGGAAATTTTTAAAAACTGCTAGGGAAACGTTATTTCTCTCCTTCCTTCACTTTATTTAACACAACATTATTAGAAAACAGTTCAATAGCAGAAAAACAACATGCCATCACCTAAATTGTCTTATAAGGTGTATAGACAGAGACCCTAAGCTACATCTATCTGTGACCTAAAATGCTTGGTCCAAGTTAAACAGCTTAAGGGCAATTCTCATCTGTTTTGTTTGATCTCATCTGTTGACATTTATTTTAAATGTAATTGAACATAGGCTGTGAATTTATCAAAATTGATCACTATTTCCAAAAATGACTGAAAAAATACCAAATAAAACAAAAGTAAATGAATGCCATCCTCCTTGCGATGATGCCCTGGGCAACTGCCATAAAGTCACATCAAGAAATGCTGCTGATCATTCCAATGATCCCAAATAGACTCACATTAGGCCACATGAAAGCAACTGAACCCAAAAATATATTAACCAGTATATAACTGCACTCTCACACAACACGCCTGCAGCAACAGTTAGGACTCCTCCCTCCCTTTTAAAAGCGTTTTTGCTTCCGAGGACATTGTGGTTGTAAAACCACATGCTAGTAGTCTGGCCCCGGTGTGATCAACCAGTTTCTGCGGGAATGTGACGGCGGAACCAGGGCCAGATTAACACTTTGTTGTACCCTGGGCAACAATATTCAAGGGCTCCATCATCACGACCCAAGGATCACCATAATGTGGTCACATACAGAATATTTTACTGTAATATGCAGTAAATATACTCAATACTTGAATGCCTGACAACACGTAACCCGCCCAGAGTAACCTTTGACCCACCTCGTGTGGACTGACCAATGAGGAGAGGGTCTTAACTTGAGGCCCTCTCTTCATTGGTCAGTCTGCATGAGACTGACTCTCAACTGACGTTCAGTCGTAGGCAGCGAAGCGTCTCTGTGCAGTGCAAAAGCCCGGGTGGACAGTTTGTTTAATGTAGGGTGACCATATTTCCATTTCCAAACAAGAGGACAGGGGATCTGTGCCTATGACGTAACACTATGGCAACGCCACACAAACCATGTTGGGACCCATTTTTTGTAAGAACTAAATTAACATCAGATTCTGCCAATTAAAGGGCTCTAAAACAATTCATATGTAAATATTTTGCATATTTAATGCAAAATCTAATTTTTCTGCTTTAGTGCTGCAACAAGGTTTTATTAATAATAAATTATTATACCTTTTGTTTTACTACAGCATCGGTAAGCTTCCTGTGCACAGATTATTAAGGATGCTTGTTTCAGCTGTGAGATTAGACGATAGGATCAATGAAAAAATAAGTTGTCACAAACTCCATGGAAACTTTCAGAGAATCCACAAATAGTGGCTTTCAAATGGTTTTGTTACTTTTTGCAAGTTTATAAAATAAGCAGATGAGACAGCATGTCTGATAATTTAGTTTTTCATCTGATAATATTAGAGCATGTCAGTAATGTCTGAGGGGCTTTTATAAACACCATATAACTAACACTACTGGAGAGGGCATGAATTACACAGAGGCTTCTGGGGAGCCCAGTTATTGGGGGGGGGGGGGGGGGGGGGCATTTTGCCTTGGCCCCCAAAATGTCTTGAAACGGCCCTGGGTGTGTGACTGAGTTTTGAAGGTGATCTGAATTGTATCAGATGTATAAATATGACATGTGTATAACTTATTGTTTTTTACGGGTAAAAACGTGTCGTGGAGATAAATCTACCTACATTTTACTTTTCAACACTTTGTTTTGTTTTCTTGTTTTTATTGAACTATTTTCCTGTCCTGTCTGTCTCTCATCTTCCTGCATCTCCTCTTAGTTCTCCAGAAAATCTGTTGCCTGGATTCTTACCTTTTCACCTCATCAGTTACTTCTGAGCAGATCAAAGGGATCTCCTGACCGAAAAGCGCAGAGCGCGTTTTCGATGCTGCGTGAGGTGACATCACCACAGCACAGGTGATGAGCTCCGCAGTAGCGCGCTTCAGGCACAAATAAGACAGAAAATAGAGAACATGTGCGGACATGAACGATCGTGTGCTAATTATAGTTTTTTGGTTGCGCCACTTTGAGAATGGACCGTGCGCTGGAAGCAGCTGCCTGGATCACTGTGCAACAATGCGGAACCGGTTCGCAGCAGCGCAAGTCTGCCGGCTCTCCCTCGCGCTGATCTGCCTGTACCGGCTCTCCCTCACGCTGATCTGCGGCTCTCCCTCGCGCTGATCTGCGGCTCTCCCTCGCGCTGATCTGCGGCTCTCCCTCGCGCTGATCTGCCGGCTCTCCCTCGCGCTGATCTGCGGCTCTCCCTCGCGCTGATCTGACTTGCTCTGGTCTGCGCGCAACGGCGGGCGGGAAGGGGGGGCGCTTTTGGAAGAGTTGTGCGACACAACGAATCGATGACGCAATTCGTTGCCAACGCTTTTAGTAATCGATTTTCATCGAATTTATCGATTCGTTGTTGCAGCCCTAGTCTGCTCTGTCTTCATCCCCAGTGAATCGTGGTGGATGGCTGCTTAAACTGAGTCAGGATCCTCTGGAGGTTTCTTCCCCTTAAAAGGGAGTTTTCCTCTCCACTGTCACTGCATGCTTGCTTAGTATGAGGTGTTAATATCCCAGATTATTTGTTTTATTAGATATTATTTAAATACTAATATCGCTGAGCAATTTATTCTTTTTAATGTTCACATTACTCTTATTTTGAAATTCAGAATGCTAATATCCGGTTTCGAAACTTTGTCAAATTATTTACCAGAAAATACTAAATAAACAATTCATGCCATGTCAACATGTTACAGCTATATGATGTTCTAACATTATGAGGCATGAGAAACATATTTCAAGCTAGCTTGTTTTGCAGATTTGCCATTGCAGCTTTAATGTCTGATAGTGAAGAAGGCAAGAAGCAATGAAGGAGAAGGTTACCGTTTGACCAGCACTCTCTTTTGCTCATCAATGCTGTTCCACCACTTAGAGAAGTAACTGATTTCTGCCCAGATCATCTTCCTCCTGCACACATCAGATAAGCTGATTGGGTGAGAACCACCAGGTCTGAGCAACAAGAACAAAAGTGACATTTGACCCTACGCTTGACTCTAGACTTCCTGTAGGGTCCATTTGAGAGGATGATACAATGAACCTGACTGATCTCATCTGGGTTGTGAAGTCACATTTAATCTGGACCAGCCCAACCCACCTCCCATCCACAGAAAGTGACTATACCTGCTGTCCTCTCCCAGCTTCACCAACATGTTGTCCAGGATGTGTCGAGTTTGGTCCTGGTAGTACCCGTCAAACGTCTTCAGCCAACCTGAAGCACAGAAGACATCAGTTTGGCCTCAGCACACCTGAGCACTAATCATTTGACATTCGTCTCACCCACCTGGGTCATTATGAGAGTGAGGAACCAGGAAAAGCTCCAATGGATGTTCTGCCCACTCGTCACCACGGTAACTGATTTCAAAGCCCTGCTTCCACACGCCGCCATCGGGGTTATCGAAGGGCAGAAGGTCATAAACATCCAGCAACTGGCCAACAAACAGATGAATAAATGATAACAGAAGAAGAAACGTTTACTTGTTTAGTGACTTTTGAGAATAAAATCACAAGCACAACAGAAAATGAAACTAATTTAAAAATACAAATGAAAAGAATTGGGAACCTGAGAAAAACAGAATTGGCAGAAACAGCTGTTAAGAGAAACAAGTGCAGAATAGGAGGTCACACCAAAGCCAGTCTAAACAGGTGAACTTTCAGCTGCAGACGCAGGTTAGGGTTGCAGCAGTCTTAGCCGAGAGGCCCAGATGTCCCTCTCTCCAGCTACTTGGAAGTGACATTTGACCCTATCCTTGCAGTTGGTAACAAGATGGCGCCTGTGCTTGGCTTAGCCGCAGTCACCGGCCACTTTTTCAAACATTTCTCCACTAACCTCCTCTTTTCCACCTTGCTCCTGTCTGCGTCCTGTTCGGTAGTGTCCCTGCTACCATCTCCTATAATCACTAGACTCTTTTGTCCTTCCGATCGTTCACGATCGCCCAAGACGCACCGAGGACGTACCTCCCTGTTTGTTTATCTGAGTGGTGCACTGGCCCGGAGCCAAACGACGATTCCAACCAGGGCGCCTCCTGCAATGTTTATCTGGTCCCGGGAAAACGTCGGAGGAAGAGAGGTAAACGAGCAGGAATCCAGGTGAGAATAACACTTCTCTTAAAGTGTGGTTTATCTAGTAAACATCGGCGTGATCTTCTTTTCCTTTGTTTGGCAACTTGAGCGCCACTTCCACATTCCCGCCGGGCTGTGTTGCGGCGCGGTTTCTCCGTTCAAGTTTTTTAAGGTTGGTTTATCCTCATTCCTCAGTGGTTTCTCCTCCTGTTCCCTCCATAAGTGGTTTTTATGAACACCGTGGATCTAACCCTGCTAATTTACGTCCACTAACTCCAACTGTTTCTGTAGTTTCTGATTCCTCCACCTCACTCAGCATGGCTCTATTAAATACCCGCTCTGTTAACAATAAGTCCTTCCTGCTCAATGATCTAATTCTCTCTAAAAACCTGCATTTTCTGTTTCTGACTGAAGTTTGGCAGCAAACATCTGATTATTCTGCTCTGATTGAACTCTGCCCGAGTGGTTATTCTTTTCTTAGCCAGCCCCGGGGTTCTGGTCGTGGTGGAGGCCTAGCTGTTGTTTTTAGAGACCCTCTTCCATGTAGCTCTACAACCTCTGGTCACTTTGCTTCCTTTGAACTGCAGCTGATTAAAGTCGGGCGTAAGGACCCGTTCTACTGTGCTGTGGTCTATCGTCCACCTGGTACAAACGGTTTTTTCCTTCAGGAGTTTAGTGACTTTCTATCCTCCACTGTGAAGCTGTCCACACTGGTGATTGTTGGTGATTTTAACATCCACGTTGATTCCTCTGATCACTTTGCCATGAATTTCTCCAGCCTTATGGGCTCCTTCAGCTTTACCCAGCATGTTTCTTGCCCCACACACACCAGGGGGCACACTCTAGACCTTGTTTTTACCCTGAGTCTAAATGTTGGCCGTGTTTGTCCTGAGGACGTTTATATTTCAGATCACCATTGCATTTTCTTTAACTTGTCAGTTTCTGCGTCCCTACCTCCTGCTCGCCGTATGGTTAGTTCTCGTTTTCTTAATGAGAGCACAGCTAGCTAATGTTCTGCTGCTTTTGATCCACCCTGTTCTTCTGATAACGACCCAGATTCCGTAACTTCTCAGTTTAACGAGCACTGCCTCTCCATTCTGGACAACATCTGTCCTGTCAGAACCAGATCAGTTCCTGCAGTGAACCCTACTCCCTGGTTTAATGACAGCCTTCACAGCCTGAAGCACCAATGCAGAAAAATTGAGTGCTTGTGGAAGAAAACCCATCTCCACGTCCATCTGCTGCACCTAAAGGATCTTCTGACATCCTTTCACTCTGCAGTCAGAGACGCGAGGGTTTCCTATTTCTCCAACCTGGTGTCCCAGAGCAAAGGGAACCCCAAGGTGCTGTTTAACACCATCAGCAGCATCGTCTCTCCTGCCTCTCCTACAGCCTCCATCCACTCTGTTGCAGACTGTGAGAACTTTCTGTCTTTCTTTGTGGACAAAGTCAATAAGGTTAGATCTAGCATCTCTCCTTCAGCCTTATCGCCACCTCTCTCGACTCCAACCAGGCCCATCATCCTAGATAACTTTGCTCCTGTTTCTTTGCCTGAGTTAACCAAACTAGTTAACTCTATGAAGACCTCTGCATGCCCCCTCCGCATCTTACCCTCATCTTTGTTTAAAAGTGCTTTTCAGTCCATCGGTCCCAGCGTGCTCTCTAGAATTAATGCTTCTCTGGTCTCTGGTCAGGTCCCTGCTTACTTTAAGAATGCTGTAATCCACCCGCTTCTTAAAAAACAGAGTCTTGACCCCTCTCTCCATAGCAGCTTCAGACCCATCTCTAAACTTCCGTTCATCTCCAAGATCTTGGAAAAGGTTGTGGCTAAACAACTCACAGCTGCTCTTGATGAACATACATCTATGATAGCTTCCAGTCAGGTTTTCGTAGAGCTCATTCTACTGAAACGGCTCTTCTTAGGGTCTCTAATGACCTTCTGACTCACAGTGATGCAGGGGACTGTTCTGTTCTGGTCCTGTTGGACCTGACTGCAGCCTTTGATACTGTTGACCATCACCTGCTACTGGAGAGGCTGCAAGACTGGGTAGACCTATCAGGATCTGCTCTGGAGTGGTTCTCCTCTTATCTTTCTGAGCGGTCCTTTTCTGTGGCCGTCTCCAAGTTTAGGTCCTCCACCACCTCCCTTACCCATGGTGTCCCACAAGGTTCTGTGCTGGGGCCTCTGCTCTTCCTCCTCTATCTGCTTCCTCTTCAGCACATTCTGAGCTCCTTCAAAGGAATCTCCTACCATCTTTATGCAGATGACATCCAACTGTACATCTCCATTAAGCCCCATGAGAAATCTAAGCTGGAGCTGTTACACACCTGCTTAGACTCTATCAAAACCTGGATGGCTGGGAGCTTTCTACAGCTGAATGAAGATAAGACTGAGATCCTCATCTGTGCCCCAGACAAGCTGGTTCCCAAAGTCAGAGACTCTCTTGGTCAGCTTGCTTCTCACACCAAACCTTCCATCAGGAATCTTGGCGTGACCTTTGACCCAGCTCTCACCCTGGATTCTCATGTCAGTTCTCTTGTTCGCTCTTCCTTCTTCCATCTCAGGAACATTGCCAAGCTGAGTCCCATTCTGTCCCGCTCTGAACTTGAGACAGTTCTCCACACCTTCATCTCCTCATGCTTAGACTACTGTAACTCTCTTTTCACGTGTCTGAGCAGAACCTCCCTGAACCGTCTACAGGTGGTTCAGAATGCCTGTGCTCGGCTTCTGACCAAGTCCTCCAAACACACCCACATCATCCGGCTTCTCCTCCAGCTTCATTGGCTGCCAGTCAACGTCAGGGTTCCTTTCAAGATCCTGGTTCTGGTCTATAGGGCCTTACATGGACAAGCACCATCTTACATTGGTGATCTTCTTAGTCCCTACACCCCCAGCAGGTCCCTGAGATCCAGTGATCAAAGCCTACTGGTTGTGCAGCACCAGGCTAAACACCAAAGGTGACAGATCATTTGCTGCTGTGGCCTCCCGACTCTGGACCTCTCTCCCCCTGAGCCTGAGATCAGTGGACTCAGTGGTCTCCTTTAAAAAGCAGCTGAAGACTCACTTGTTCAAGCTGGCCTTTATATGACCTTCTTCACCACTCTCTCTTTATTCTGCTCTCCCCACCTATTCCACCTTCCTCAGGATCCACTGATTTCCCTCTTTCCTATTTACTCTCTCCCTTTCTTTACATTTTTAATCACAATTGTCTATTTTTTGCTCATTTTTAATATATTTTTTAATCATTTTCTAAATTCTTTTTTATATTTTTACATTTTTTGTTTTTGTGAAGCGCCTCGTGATTTTTATCTTGAGAGGCGCTATAGAAATGATACTTTCTCCTTCTTCTTAGACCAGCTCCTCCGGAAGAATCCCAAGGCGTTCCCTGGCCAGCTGAGAGACATTGTCCCTCCAGCATGTCCTGGGTTTTCCCTTGGGTATCCTCCCAGTTGGATGTGGAAAACCTCACCAGGTAGGCGTCCAGGAGGCATCCTGACCAGATGCCCGAGCCATCTCAACTGGCTCCTCTTGACGTGGAGGAGCAGCAGGTCTACTCCGAGCCCCTCCCGGATGGCAGAGCTTCTCACCCTATCTCAACAGGAGAGCTTAGCCACCCTGCGGAGAAAAGTCATTTCGGCCACCCCTATCCGTGATCTTGTTCTTTTGGTCACTACTAGGGGAGTAACGGTTAACAGGGGGTGTTGAACCATTTCGTTTTGGTCCACTTCGTATTGTTTCGTTTTATTTTTCTGTTAAACAATGAATTTTTATTTGCGTGATTTAAGTGCAGTTCCTAGTTCTGCTGAATGAAGCTTCTCCACCTGAGGCTCCTCTATAGCACAAGAACACCTGAGTATCCTGGCTGTCATCAGCTCAGCTCAGGAGTAACACAGCATCAGATGACCTCACAGGTGACTTCAGAAGGAGATGTGTGTGCAGAAGGCCTCTTCCATTGTTGAAAGAGGCTCATTTAATCTGTGCCTACTAAGTTGTAAACCTAAAATATCCCAATGATAAAGACATTTTGCAACGGAAAGGGCCTCAAGCCCCTGAAACTAAATAATCGTAGTCCTCCAGACATTTGAAAGCCTTTCATTGTCATGAGTGAAGGGTCGAGGGCTTTCTGTTAAGAAAAAGTATCTCCTCAGCAGATTTGTGTATAAAACAGACGAATGGGAGCAACGTTTTCTGTCATCCCAGAGCTCACACGGGCTTTTAATAATTTTAATTTAGTCTTCAATAAGCTCCTCTCTAAATCCTGTCTTTGGATGGTGTAGCGTCCAGCAATGGTCAGTTAGGTACAGCCTGACCTTCCACCATCTATTCAACATCTGGTCATTAAGGAGACACAACATTGCTTGTGTT